GAAGGGAAGGTCAATGCAGTGTTGCTCAGACTCCCACAGTGGTGTCTTCTTTTCAGGCTCTTGTATTGATTGGCTCTTTGCAGGGAAGAAGTATCAGGATGCTCAGGCTCGGGACCTGAGCCTTGTGAACGACAGGATCTTTATTCATCTGTGTGTGTCCTTAACCTGTAGAGAGCAACCACCTAACCAAAGTTGGTCCAGTTAAATTTGATCTCAGCACTTGGTGGATTTCTGTTCAAATCCCCAAGCTTGCCAGAGAGAATCCAGGTCAAGCATGGGTATCCTCTGATCCAGGCCCAAGGTCAAAGGATTCCCCGTGCCTTCTTTGCCCCACCCACCCAACCTTCCAGGAGCTCTGGTGGCACTGTTGCTAACCACAAGGTCGGAGGTTCAAACTCCATCAGATGCTCTGCTGAAGCGAGTTGAGGCTCTCTGCTCCCGTAAAGATTTACGGACTTGGAAACCCTACACAGGATGGCTATGAGTTGGAATCCCCTCGGGGACAGTGGGTTTGGTTTTGTTCTGTTTTGGTCATCCTAGCCCTAGCCCCTGCCTCAGGCGTCTCCCTACCGCCTTATGTGCTTACGTTAGGCCAGAGTCCTGGAGGATTTAAGAGATTTCAAAATAGGAGCCAAGAGAAAGGACTTTTAGAAGAGTAATGGTGAGCTGATAATAAGTACAGTTGAGGGAGGGGGCACACGGAGAGTTATTGTATTCTTTTTACTTCCTGTGTGTGCTTGAAGCTGTCTAAAATAAAAAAAAAAAACAGGGGCGAGGGGTGGCAAAAACCAATTGAACTGGGTTATATGTTCCCAGCCTGCTTGCCTTCGCTCCTCTACCCATCCGTCTTTGCTGTTGTTGTTTGTGGCAGGCTACCCTGGCAGCTGGAGACCTCTGAAGCAGCATCAGGGAACAAGGACAGTTCTCCATGTTGGGAGACCAGGATTCTTGGTCCAGCTCTGCTGCTACTTAGCTCCGTGTCTCTAGGCAGGTCCCAGGTGTCATGAGATCTCTCGTCTGCTCATGGGTAGGCATTGCCCTTGTCCTCCATCTCAGTGATGTTGAGAGGAAAACAGGAGAAGAAATACATGTTGCAGTGCTTTGAAAAGTGAACAAGTATCCCGCATATGTAAAACACTTGTTCCTGCTCCGCCTGGCGCATCTTTACGGGAGCTATAAGTGTGCGAGGTGACTTAGCAGATGAAGTTCAGCTTACTGGTGTTCTTCCCTCAACATCCTCCTTTTATAGCTGTTGCTCCGACCACCTGCTTTTGTCGGAAGAGCCTCTGGGCCTTGGACTTGGCAGCAGGCGCCTTGCTCCAAATCTGTTTCGAAAACGCTTAGCTTTCCCCACATGCCGAGGCAAGCCTTGCAGGAGTCCCAGCCCCCTCAGGAACTCGCCAGCATCCCTGAGGCAGGGAGGGGATTAACCAGACCATTTGATCAGTGCCGAATCGTGATGTCACAAAGATGCTGGATCAGGGAAAGCACCCCCTGTAGTCACAGACCAAGGATGGACGTATTGGAGTCTCAAAGACCCAGCAGTGTCTGGTGATTTGGTTTCCATCCGGCTGGTGGAACTTGCGCAGCAGCTCCGACAATCAATAAGGGAATTAAAACCGAACCAAACTCTTTCAATGGCACAAAGGGATTACATTCTTCCTGCCCCTGGGTTTTATTTGGATGTTTTTACTGGTAATTCTTAGCCCTGGGCTGGGTGGCAAGGGTCTCCAGTCCTAGACTCAGATCTACCATGGTTTTTTTTTTATTTCTACGAGGAAAAGCAACTTAAAGGACAAAGAAAATCAAACATGAAGCCTCCGGCCTTCTCGGGAGGCCTTACAAGGTTTGTTTTGTCTTTTCAGCTGTGATCTTAGCTCAGAGAAGGTCATGTTTTGTTTTTGTCTTTTGTCTTCCTGCCCGTTCCAGTTGGTCCCAGTCTTTTGAGGTAGGGATTGCTGGGAGGTCACAATGTGTGCATTGTTTGGGATGATCCTTCAGGGAGCACAGGGCTGAGGTCATGTAGCCCGTGTGCTGAGTTGCCCAGAAACGGAGGACTCATCGTTGGTCCTTTTCTCGAAGGTCCGCCGGCCTAACTTTTCTGGGACACGCGATAAATGTCTGTGTTTACGGAGATTACAGTGTCTGTCAGAATATCCGAGGCCAGATGCCTTGGAAAATCCAGGATATAAGGTGGGCTCCCTGAATGATTCTAGAAAGGATTCCTCTTGTTCTTAACAATCCTCCTAACACTGTGAAAGTAGAGTTCTTTCCTTTTTTTAAAGGTAAATAGTACAGTGTGGGCAGTGGGGGTGCCATGCTAAAATTCTCCCCCGGCGCGTGGGAGACCCAGGTACAGTTCCCAGCCACTGCACCTCAAACATAGCCACCACTTGTCAGTCAGTGGAGTCTCCCATGCTGCTATGAAGCCCAACAGGTTTCAACGGAGCTGCCAGATTTAGAGACTAGGAAGAAAGGCGGGGCGATCTGCTTCTGAAAATCAGCCCATGAGAACTCTATGGGTCCAGCCCTGGTATGTGTGGGGTTGCCAGGCATGGGGCTTCATTCCCCAGCAGCCAACACTAACGACAAACAACACAGGAGGACCAAACAACACAGGAGGACCAAACAACACAGGAGGACCGAACAAGGACTTTGGAACTAGAATCCCAGCCCCACCACTTACTAGCTACGTATTTCTTCATTAGAGAACCTCTCTGTTCCTCAATGTCCTCATGTGGAATTATGGCCAACAGTACCTACCTCACAGGTGTTGTGAGGATCAAAACGGCCTCAGGTGCCTGCATGCAATAACGATTCAGCACATAACTCTTTGTAGTGTGTCATGAGCAAAAGATATTTGGAAATGGTAGGTAGAAAACAATATTGGTGATTCACCCATCAAATATCACATAGAGGCTCTCTGAGGCACCATGTTAAAATTAGTGCAACAGCTTGAGAGATGGCTGAGTTTTCTTTTATTTAAAAAACAAGCTTTTATTATGGAAAATTCCAGGTATATGCTAGAGAGACCAGTTTAAAGAACTCCTAAGTACCCGCCATTCAGCTTTACAAATTACCCATATCTTGACACATCTGATTTCATACACAGCCACCATACCCTTGCCATGATGTGTTTTAAAGCAAATCTCAAGACATCAATTCACCTGGAAATGATAGATGTACTAGCAGATGACATTTAAAACAAAAAGAACCTTAATATTATCAACCGAACATATTAAAAATGGTTTGTTAACAATAATGTAATTCTAAGGTGACCATGAAGCCTTGGCGGTGCAGTGTTTAAATTCGTAACTGCCAACCCAAAGGTCAGTGGTTCAAACCCACCAGCCACTTGAAGGGAGGAAGATGGGAAGCAGGCTTCCGTACAGATTCCAGCCCCGGAAGCCCCATGGGATGCTCCTTCTGTTTCACGGTGTCTCTCTGCGTCAGAATTGATGGCAGCAATCTTGGTGTGGGAATTTAAAATTTTATTTTAAAGTGACCTCCTGGGTGGAATAAGCAGTAATTCCTTAGAATTATCTAATACCCGGGGTGACTGGATGGCAGGCATTGGGACAGACTAAGTTTACACTTGTTGCTGAGCGTAGTAATTAATAGAAATATCTAGTGATTCCATCTCTTCTTTTCATTCACTCTGGGCCAGAATGTTTTCTTGTACCCACACCCATGTCCTCTTCATCTCGAGATGATCAAGCTTTGCTTCTCTAAAGTATCTTGTCTTTATGTTGCAGGAGCCCTGGTAGCATAGGGGTTACAAGGCTCAGCTGCTGCTTGAAAGCTCCATGGTTCAAACCCAAGAGCAGCTGCTCAGGGGAAAGATGACGCAGCCTGGGAGACCCTATAGGGAGGTTCTGCACTGTCCTATAGAGTTGCTATGAGTTGGTATCAACTCAATGGCAGTGGGTTTGGTTTTTGGTTTATACCCAGGAGGTGTCTGGGTAAATGCTCCTGGCTGGGAATAATATTACAGGTGTCTAGTTGGTTGGTCCTGAATTTATACCAAGTTTTCCCAGAGGCTGTAGCTTTCTCCAGTGACTGCAGCAAGATATCTAGTGATTTTCTGGGTTTCATTTTATGGCTTGAAGGGGATGGTGGGAACCTGCCCAAAGCAGCTACTTCAGTGACAATGGACAAAATCCCCGCTAAAACTGTCAAGGCAATATAAAGGATTACATTTTCTTTGCATTTGTTCTCTGGGTGAAATCTCTGGGGGAACCAGTTGAAACCAATTGCTGTCACGTCCGTCCCAGCTCACGGTGGCCCAATGTGCATTAAGTAAAGCTGTGCTCCCTTGAGTGTGTAATGGCTAGTTTTTCAGAATACCAGCACCAGGCTTTTCTTTGTAAGGGGCCTCCAAGTGGACTCAAGCCTCATTGACTGCTGCTTGTGTTAACTGTTTGCATCAACAACGGACATCCAAATCAATATCCTTTTAGTAGAATCAGAACGAAATTGGGAACCAAAACTCCGCCTCATATTAGCTATACGACCTTGGGTCAATCCGTCAACCACCACCCTTCTTCTACACCTTTTCCCACCCCCACAAACCCAGGCAGGCCTCTTTTTCTGCTCCCTCATTCATCCGTATTTCTATGAGTAGTTACGACTATCGTGACATTTTAAAATGACTTGTCCCCAGAGTTCCTTGACAAGCTCAAAGACAGGAGTCCTGTCTTATTTAGCCTGGTGTCTCCAGGGCTAAGAAGCGTGGCGGGCACCTTGAATCTAGTGACTGTACACAGATGGGCCTGACTCCCCACTTCTGTAAAAGTGAGACTAGGTTCTCCTTAAGGTTTCTCCCGGTTCAGGCTCATGATTCCTGAAGTTGTTCATCCAACTTCTGAGGAGACCGACATAATTTCCCCGTCTTCTCTGCCCGCTGATTTGCCCCCGCCCCTGTGGCTCCTCCTCACACATGCACTAACCTATCTTTTCCTCTCTTTGCATGCTGGTTCTCAGGGCTCCCCGGAATAGTCGAAGTCGGTCTCATCATGGCGGAGCTCAAGGTGGAACTCCGGGCCAGTGTGGACTGGCAGAAACGCTGCCTGGCCCTGGAGACCCAGCTTTTCCGGTTCCGCCTACAGGCCAGTAAGATAAGGGAGCTGCTGGCTGACAAGGTGAGTTCCCAGGAGCGCAAGCTGCTCAGCCTCACTGCAGAGGCCCGCGTCAGACAGGGAGCCTTGAAGAAGGTCGTCTTCCGGTGAGAAACCTGTCCACACACACACAATGAAACCCTAGGTAGTATTTCTTTTTTTTTTTTTTTTTAAGACCAACATCAAAGCTGCTTGCCAAACTGTCACTTTGTATTTTGACGGTCCCTCCTCCCTCCCCCAATTCTTATGGCACACTAAAGCCATGGTGCGCGTCTTGGTCTTCGGTCACCTCTGGGGGCGTTGGGGCTGCTACTCCGTGGACAGTTCTTCCGTGTGGGGAAGGAAGAGCACGTCTTAACAGAGAAGGAGGGGAACCCCCACCCAGTCGCCCACTCTCTATTACGCACAAGGGCCAGGCTTTGGAGCCAGATGTGCCCGGCTCTGCTGCTGCTTAGCTAGGTGGTGGCACCGCATTCAGGCAAGCTCCTTCATCTCCTAGGCAAGGTCACAGAATGTGTGCCTTTCAGAGTGACTCTGAGGATTACGGGAGCCACCCAAGAAGGTCCTGGCAAGACAGGGGTCCTTAACTGAGAACCATTGTTACCTTTACAGGCTTTGGTGGGCTGGGCTGGGAAAGCGACCACCATTCCTGCTGTTTCTGTGGGAAGGTACAGTACAAATGGCCGACTGACAGAGCTGCTTCAGAACGGAGCCCCTGTCGAGAATGGGGGCCTGCACTGTAGCCATCTCTGTCTGCCTTCAGGGAACCAGCCATTCTTCCTGTGAGATTGTTTTTTTATCCACCTGCCTTCTTTTATAGTTAAAAACAAAAGCCCTTCACTGCCACGGTGCCCATTCTGACAGAACAGAATGATCCCTGTGAGTTTTCGAGACTGTAAATCTGCATTGGAGTAGAAAGCCTCGTCGTGCTCACATCTTTTGTAGTACACAGGGAAAACGGCTCACTTTTCTTCCAGACAATGTCGCCGTCTGGATGAGTGGGCCTGGGCACGTGATTTACTGCATTTGGGAAGATAAGTCAGTAGTGCATCTCTGCATGTCCATAGCTGAAAGGAGTGGTCCTGGACTAGAAATTGGGAAGCTTGGGTCTGTTGACAGTGGTGTCACCTAGTCCAGACTTTGCAAACCAGAGACCGTCAAGGTTCATGTGGATGGCTGCAGGTACGAGTACGAAGAAGGGATGCGCACCTTAGACGTGGGTTCTCCAAGTGGAGTCCTAGGACCACTTGTGTCACCTGGAGCCACCTGGAGTGCTCTTCCTACATGCATATTCCTGATCCCACTCCAGTTCTCTTGATCTCCAGGGGTGCTGCTAATCTGCATTTTTGTTGAGCTCCCAGAAGATTGTTTTGTACATTGTAAAGTTTGAGAGGCTTGCCTTTGGATGTGGTATTGGAGGGAGGGGGCAAAGGAAGGAAAGAATAAGTGGGGACCAACTCCAACAGAATAAAACATGCTCCAGGGACACCCCTCAAGCCTGAAACTGGACCACCTCCCATCCCCCATCGGTTCAACTTTCAGCGAAATGGTAGGCCAGTATGGTGAGCGGTAACACCAGGCAGGTACACACTCGTTAGAACAATCAACCGTATGAGAAAGCTCAGAAGGCAGAGAAACAGACAACCCCCAAAAACAAACTCACTGCCATTGAGTCCATTCTGACTTACAGTGCCCTTTAGAGCAGAGTAGAACTGTCCCTGAGGGTTTCTGAGAGTGCCCCCTGTACAGGTCTAGGGAGCCCATCATTCTCCTGCTAGAAAGCAGGACGGGATAAGGAGAGAAGGAAGAAGGGAATGGTGAACCCAGGGAGGAAGTGAGAAGAGTGCTGTGGGGTTGGCAACCAGTGTCACAAAGCACAATTCATCACCTATTAGAATATCGATTTGCTGCAAACGTTCACCCACATTACAACTCAATAAAACAAAGCCCGAATACTCATGTAAACTTTTAGCAGACAGTAATTGCTTCATAAAATTAGGTATTTATGGGTCTTATCTTAGAAATTGTAATCAATGGTAGCTGTTCAAGGAGCCCTGGTGGTGTAGTGGTTTCGTGTTGAACTGTGATCTGCATGGTTGGCAGTTCAAAACCACTAAACAGTGACAGTCTCAAAACCTCACAGAGCAGTCGCTGTAAGTCAGCATGGACTCGATGGCAGTGAGTTCAAACAATAAAACATCCTTCCGCGGGAGAAGATTTCTGTGGACAGAGAACAAAGTAAGTATAGCCCCTCACCTTCTGAAAGACTGAGAAATCCCAGATGACGTGTAAAATTTCCTTTCAAGCGCAGAACTGAGCATTGAAAATAGAGAACCCTTGGGGGGTGGGGGGCCAACACTAAGAGGGAACTCCTAAGTGGTACTCAACTCTGCCAGCTGAGCCAGGTAACCTGGGGTGGCTGGCCTGCCTCCCTTGGGAATGGAGGGTTTGCGTGCTAACCTTCCTGGAGACTGAGATGAGGTCCAGCCATTTGGAGTTGAAACTGAGGTTTACGTTTAATGTCCAGAATTTAATGCCCACTGGAGGCTTGACCTTAAGTAAAAAGGTAGATGAGGCAAAGAACATCAGCCGCCAGCCTAGGGAGATGACAGACAGCTCCCTCCGACTTGGCCAAGGTTCTGGGTGGAAGAAACAAAATAAAAGAGAAGTCTCCCCTGAGAACCTGTTGATCGCATTAGTCTAACATTTGAATTTCTACTCCCTGTGTGGCATTACCTCTGGGAAATGTTGTAGAAAGAGACACAAAGCCTCTGGGGAAACAGGACTTCAACCCAAACCACACAGGATCCCCACAGGGGAAACGGACGAAAAACCTGCTGCCACGGAGTGGTTGCTTCCTCCCAGCAACCCTGCGGACCGAGCGGAACTCCCACGTCGGTGTCCACGGCAGTCAGCTTTACGAAGCTGCCACACCTTTCCCCCACGGAGTGACTGCTGGGTCAGACCACCCACCTTTCAGTTTGCAGCTGAGTGCTTCAGCACTGTGTCACCAGCTCTTCTGGGGAAAAAGCCTTAGTGACGATGAATGTTCAATTAAAACTACTAACAATTTGAGGAGGTAATCTATAGTGAGTAAGAGACCATATGTACAGATACTTGGTGGAGACCCACCAAGAACTCCAAATAATCGAAACGTCAGCAAGAGATTATGCAGTAAATGCACTTAAAACTGTGGAAGATGATAAAGAAGAAACAGAAAATAAAAGAACCTTGGGCTATCCAAAAGAATCGTCAGACTTGAAAAAGAACCAAACAGAACTCCTAAAAGTGGAACCTATTTTCCGTGAAAGACGACCTTTTCAGTGAGCAAATTGAGCAGCAGATTTAGACCCCAATGAACACATAACTAAGTGAACAGGGAGATAAACCTGAGAAAATCACCCGAACTCAGCACAAAGACACGGAGACTGAGGTGGAGAGACTGGAACGAGAACCTGTGGCCACCACATAAGGTTTTAAAAATAGAGACGAGAAAGAGAGAGGTTCCTACTTACAGAGTTAATGGCTAAAACGTTTGCAAACTTGAAAGGTAGGTGTAGGAAGCCTCAGATTGAGGAGCTGGAATGAGGCTAAGCAGGAGAAGCAAAAACAAAATCCATGCCTGGTGTATGTATGCATAGCTGGGCCACAGGCTGACTGCCCTAAGAAAGAAAGAATTTAAGATAGCCGGAGCTTTCTTCGCCTGTAAATATTTACCCTCGGGGCACATCTACTCTGCCCTATAGGGTTACTACGAGTCAGAATCAACTCAATGGCATCGAGTGGTTTTTCGGTTTAAACCAGACAGACTCAATGTTTATTTCTTTCATAGGTAATGTTCCAGACATAAGCAGTCAACCCCTGGGGTGACACGCTCTGCATCTCTGAAGATGGTGCACTCTGAGCTCCTCATTTCACCCCATTCCTATTAAGCTCGTGACACAAAGAAGGCATACATTCCTTCTGCTTCTGTACATTGGCCAAATCATATTCACAGGGTTATACACAGCTGCAAGGAAGATCGAGAAATGTAGTCTTTATTCTGGGAAACCATATGCGCAGTTAATAGTTTGGGGTTCTATTTATATGAGAGATGAAAGCATCGATACTAGGGAATAACTAGACATCTGTAAGACTCGGGTAATAGGATTGATAACATAAAAACAGAGTATGTAACTTTCAAAATCAGTGCAGGAAATAGAAGTCGAGTCTATTAAGTACAGGCTGGCGGGGGTAGTGGGGTGGGGCAGTGGAGCCCAGGAAAAAAGAAATAAATAGAATATGATAGCAGAAATAATAATGTTCATTACAAAACTGGTACCCACTCACTCAGGTGAGCCATCTCAGCTGAGTGCCTAGACTCAGAGCTCCTCTGGCCAGCCCTCTCCCTACCTGCTCCCTCCACCTCTCCGCAATGCAGCTTGCAGGGGGGAGGAGAGGTGTGTGCGCAGGGAGAGGTGGCACCACTCACTTACTGAGAGCCCTTGTGCAGGGAGAGGAAAGCCTGATGCTTCCTAGGGAACCTCTCTGCTTGGGGTCACACACTGCCAGGTGGCTGCTAAGGCTTGGAAGAATTTCTGACCTGTCTTCCTCCTCCCACTATGTGCAACTGACTCATACCTCCCTCATACAGAACTGCCAGTCTAGAAGTGGAATCTTTGTTGTTGTGCCAGTTGGGTGCCATTGAGTTGATTTCAACTCACAGAGACTCATGTGTCAGAGTGGAAGTGCCCTGTAGGTTGCCTTGGCTGTAACGTTTCTGGAAGCAGGCCACCAGGTCTTTGCTCCAGTAGAGCAACTGGGTAGATTTAAGCTGCGAATCTTTTGGTTAGCAGCAGCCGGGCAATTAACTGTTGCACCATGTGGACTCCTACAAGTGGAGTACTCTGTGCTTACAAAAAAAAAAAAAAAAAATCAGAGCAAACATCAAGCCTCCAAATAACCCCTCATTTAAGGACCAGGAGCTAGCTGAAGGATGAGGAGAAGAGGCTGTCTAATCCTTAATTTTGCTGTCATACCTCTCA